ACTGCGCATTAATGAAATTTGAATTTGAATTGATTCAATTTTCATGAAAGATAGAGATAGCGAGAGAGAGATAGATAGATAGAGAAAGAGAGCAAAGGAGTAATACTTTTTCTTTTTAGATTGATTTTAATTATTCTTTTAGTTTTATTTAAAATATCGCTTTTTTTATTTTTTTTTTTTTCGTTTATTTTATTAAAGAATTTTAGAGATAAGTGCTAAGCTTTAGTTTATTCTTGAAATTTATTAAAGTTTTCTTTAGTAGATTTTCAAAAGTTTAAATTTTAAAATGGTCTTTTTAGAGGGCATTTAGTTTTAAATTCAATTTGTAAAGTGCAAATATAAAATGTTTTAATTTAGTATACGAGTTGTTTGTTATATACGTTTGCTTGAGTTGCTTGATGTGATGACGTTCTGTTCATATCGAGTTTCTTTGTTTTATTTTGTATGAGAGGTCTCAGTAAAAAACGAGCAGGTTTTTTTTTTATTATTATTTTTTTTTTAAATTTTGTATCAACATGCTTTTTTGTGATTGCTGTTATGGTTTTTTTTATTTTTGTTTTTATTTTTTTTTTTATTTTGAAATGATTGGTGAAGGCTGTGACGGCAGGGGCTATTATCGAGGTTTATATGTTCTTCTTTACATGTTTCGTTGAAATGTCCTATACTTACATGAAATGTTCGTTTGTTTAAATATTTTTTTATGAAATATTTGATATTATTTATTGTTGTTTTACTTTGAAAATGTGTTTTGTTTTTGTTTATACAGAGTGTTATATTATTTACAGTGTTAGGAAACTAATAATAATAATCATAATAATAATAATAAATGCAACTCTTCTTTAACTAGAGTTGTATTTTCTTTGTACAGGGTGCTTTAACTGAATACTTGTTTAAAAAGAAAATTTTTAATGCGTTATTTCATGTAAAATTTCTGTACAGAGAATGTTTATCAATTATTTCTAAAAAAATTTCGTAAAAAACTCATCACAATCTTTAGATAAAAAATTTAATATATTTATGAAGTGTTAGTTCAAAAATATTCTCATACTTTACTTTTGCCATTACTTTAGTGAAACATTTATTCATTCTTATGCGAACATCTAAATTCATTTTTATTTCGTCTTTCATTGCCGGGAATGAAAACCCTTTTGTCAAATTGTTAAGACCATTGATTGAAGAAATGGTTAAGTTCTTCTCATCGAAGTATTTCGATACTATACACCACATACGATATAAAGATACATTAAATTTTTGGCGGATTTGTGCAACACCCAAAAGGACTTGAGCTAAAGCCACCTTTTATTAAACCGATTGATCCAGGATTAACTTCTGAATCGGCAGAGCCTATTTATCTATTCGTATATCTCATGCATTGGTGCAATTTTCACGGTGCATGTTCTATGCTCTTTACTGAAATCTTGATGGTCGCGTATTTTACGTTAGAAAGCTAACATTTGGCGCTTATAACAGTTTTTGTCGCACTCTGTATAGAATTCGCAACGCAAAGCCAACTCGGCACAGAGGTAAAACATTTCTGAAAGCAATTTTGTATAGATATGTAAATGATGCCAAGTTTATACTTTACGCCTAAAAACAATTATGCCAATCGTGAATAAAACATATGTATTTGTTTGTTTGTCTAACGTAAGTGAACCCTAGTTACAAGTGCTAATTGAATATGCACTCATTTTTCGCGCGTTCTTTATACGAATTCGTAATTATAATGTATGATTAAGTCATCACTAATTTTGTTTGAAGATTACGGATCAATTTTGAAAATAAACTTAGCCCCATTTAGACTAACTATTAAAAAAGAAAGAAGAGCAGGAAAAAAGTGAAAGAAATGTATGTATGTAATGTTGTAATTGCTTTAATTGATACTTAGCTAAAATTTTCTATTAATACTTAACAAAACTCTGACGATTAGAGCAATGAACGAAGTCGTTTGCAATTATTATAATCGATTAGTATTTAAGAGGCACCTAAAGGCAAACTTTCGTGTTTCCTTTAACGCAACCAACCCAAGAATGCAACGACTACGTATTACATTGGCTACATTAATATGGAAGCTCAGTAGCAAATGGAGCTTTTAAGTTAGGTTTCACCTCCTTGGAGGTTCATGCGCATGTCAGACGTGCTTTTAACGATCAAATAGTTGAGTAGTTGAGTGAAACTATTTCGAATATGAATTAATGTTTTCTTTACGTTTTCCTTGTAATCCGATGAATGGTTTTTTAACATTTAAAAAAAAGAAAGCAATTATTTTTTAAAGAATGTGATGAGTTTTCAAAAATTTTTCGTTTTAATACTAATTAATATTGTAAGGAAAATGAAAAAAAAAATTAAACGGAGACTCGAGAAATAATCGTTTTTTTATCGCTATATAAATACCTACCAACGCAGGTTATGGATAGTGGTTTCATTTATATGATACATACTAAAAATTTTTGTGTAATAGCATTAAAAAAAAAAAAAAACAAATCTAATAAAACCAAGTATCAAATGACAAAAATTGCCTGCCTGGAGGTTTTCCACAATGTTTCGTCACATGTATAAAATGTCGCGTCGTTATGATATGGTTTTGGATACTTGGGTTTTTAGGATGATATCTTCTCACTATACTTGCTTGACGACCTTTGACAATGATTGGTTTTTACTTTTTTTTTTTTCTTTTTTTCTTTACGTTACGGATGACAACTGGTAGCGAAATAATGAACGTTAGATTTTTTTTTTTTCTTTATTTTATATATACAAAAATTTTCTTTAGATTTATGAGCATACACTACTTAAGGGAAAAACTAGTTAATCAAAAATTCTAATTGAAAAAAACGAAAAGAAAAAACAATAAAATTATAATAATTGATTTGATTATAAAAAAAAGGGCTAAGATTATTACGCAATAAAAAAACGAAACGAAAAGGAAAAATAGAAAGCAAACAAAAGAGAAATTAATATTTTATTATTAAATGAATTAATTAAAATCAAAATGCTTTTCTATGCTTCGTTTGGAGTACATTTATCTTTAACACAAAAATAAAAAATTTCTATAAATAATTTTTTTTATTTTATTTTTTTTATTCCAACTATTTGTTGAGCATGAGCACATTGAAAACCATATGCAACTAAAGGTTATCCGTAGAAAAGAAATTAAATGAAAACAACATAGAAAATAACATAACAGTTATGTGTAAGGATATTTTGCGATGTGTCCGAGTACATAAAGAGAAAATCAAAAATAATATTGTTTTTATGAGTTCTAGTGTTTTGAGGATTGAACAAACACAAACATTGATTTCAGTTTTCATTGTTTAGGCTTAGGGAAAAATTTTATATCGAAATAGCAAAACAAAAAAAAAAAAGAAAATGGAACAAAACACATATTTAGAGTATTAACTTCCATTTGAGAGTATAAACTAGTTTTGTTTTCGTTGTCCTTGTGGTTTAGAAGCCAATAGTTGTATGTTTTTAATTAAAGCCCAATTTGGCGCAAAAAAAAAAAAACACATGAGCCCTTTACATATTTTACTCTTTAAGTGAAGTTTAAAGCTCTTATTAGAAATATACAAAGTAAATAGATACTTGATATTGATTTGGTTATGAACGCCCAGAAGTTGGCATTGAAAAGAAGAGTAATAAGTGAGTCCCTATAAAATTTAAGCAATTTTGCGGTAAAGTGAAGATCGATCACTTCATTTGTTTCAGATTTCAATAAGGGCAGAAAGTAGTAGATATTCTTTTAAAAGTCAAGTGGAAAACTGGGCGTGACCAGCTTAAAAAAGGAATCCAAAAAACGCTACATGATCGCATGGCCCACCTTATATACCCTATAGAGATTTGCTTAATAAAGGTCTTCGTCTAACGACCTTTTGAAATATGGTGTTATATGGGAAGGATCCGATCTGAGCAATTTTCAACGTCCACTGTCTCTGGGCCAAAGCATCAAAATGTTTGCAATTTCAAGAAAAGAAAATATGTCGCGCAGACGGGCAGACAAGTTTAATCTGTTCAGAAAGTGATTCTGAATCGATCAGTATAATAAAAGGCGGGGTCTATCGCAAGTTTTTCCAGACGCTCTAGATATCTGTACAAGCTTAATACTGCTGCTAAAACGCTGCTATTGCTAACCCAACAGGGCATGTGTCTCGAAATTTATGTCGGCAGTTCGCAACAGACATACCAACCTACCAAAAAAATGTATATATCGATATCACAGCTCGAATACAGTCTCGTTACTTTTTATCCGCAGTAATATAGCCTTGTACAAGTAGTGCAGGGCATAAAAATGGCACTTAATTCAAAGTTTTGTGAACATGACCCACATCGGCCAGCTCGCGTTTGCCGATTTTTAGCATAATACTTTGCACGTGTTATATATTGACTGCAGGTCCTGGCTATCAAAGATATGTCTCAAATAGATGTCCGAGGTCATTTGAATTTCAATTTTATTATATTTCCAATTCGTTGCTTATTGGTTAGGTGTATTGAAGTTGTTTCGAGCTTGTTTTCACTTGAACACAAAACTAACTTTAACTCAATTTAATATAAAAATGTTTTTAAATATAAGTTAAATTTTAAGCACATACAAACAAATTCCCATTCTGTCAACTCGAGCGCTGACCTTGCACAAGAAACGGAGAAACTAATGTAAAGCAATCTAAGGTACTTGAATACACAATTTTAATCGCGTGAAATCTTCACATTTTCATTATGAGTTAATACGATCGTGATTTCAGTTGAAAACAAGAAATGCCCGGAAAACATTCTCAATGTAAAGGGCTTTTATGTTTGGAATGCTTCTTTCAAGGAACTTTCCAATTAATGATAGACTTTAGAAAATTCCTCGTCTTTTTTTTTTTTTTTTTTTTTTTTTTTTTTTTTTAAATTAAATTGGGAAAATTAAAGTATATAAAATTAAAAGAAAATATATTTATGAAGTTTTCTACTATGATTTGCTTTTTGTTTTGTTTTTTTTTTTAAATAATTTGAAATATTTTGTGTACCTATAAGAGGAACAGCATCCGACGTTGTCGGCATTGACTCAGCAACGAGATTTAGGAAAACTGTTAGGGATAGAAGTATAGTAACGCCTGAAATAAGAAATTTTTGAAGAAATAAAAGAAAACAGAAAAATAAATTAAAAAAAAATGTTTTATAAAATAAAATTGTATTTGAAATCAAAAAAAAAAAAATAAATAAATAAATAAAACCTATCAAAAAAGTTTTCAAAGTTTCTGAACCTGATCCAATAGAATATTTATTAAAATTAATGCAAAAATTATTAATAAAAACAAATTTGAAATTATTTTACCGAAAAGTTGAAGAAAAGTTCAAAATATATAAAAAAAAAATATAATCATTTGAGAAGAAAATAGATCACATTTATATTTTCATTTAAATGTTTACTTAAGAATTTGATTAAATTTTATTTTTTAATGCACTGAAGTTAAACTATACAATTTTTTTTTTTTTACTTAGTTTAGAATGTCTTCTAAAAAGTCAAATTAGTTTTTTTTTAATATCAATATTGCCTTTTATCTCGAGCATTGTAAGATACGTGTTTTTTGCGTTTTCTTAAAAGCTTTGCAAATTAATAGTGGCATCGGTTGGTTTCAAAAGTCAAATGCTCGGTTTCTGATAGAAAAATTGTTTAGTTGTAATCAAAAAATAAATTTTTTGCTTTACTTTTTTGCAATGGAATGTCCATACTACTCTTGGTCATATTTGACCCATATTTGATGTCCAGTTCAAAAGTAATTCTGGACTGTACTTTTTGAACATTAAATCACTTCCATATCTCAGATATTCAAACTTCATATAAACAAAAGAAAAACTAATTTTAATGAGCTTAAGTTTGCAAAGCCGTGGCACTTGCTCAATGGGCACATAACCAATACGCTACGCCCGCCCTCCATCGCTTTCTCTTGCTTTATTTCTTTCTGACCATTACCGTTTCACACATATGGGTTATATCCCTTTGACTTCGCTATTAGGACCACCCGAGGAAACATCCAACGGAGCCCAAGATTTTTTTTGGCGCAATTTTTTTTTTTGTTGTATATGACCAGTCGCACAGGCGATATCCCCTACACGGGCGAACACGATGGTGGTCTGGAAGGAGTATAGTTAGTGGGGCATGGATGTGGATGTTTGTTTTAAATGAGGAAACATCAAGCATGGTGAAAAAGACGACTGCTGGAAGAGTGCCCAAAAGGCGGGTAGTATGATTAATGGCCGTCGGGGGCAACATATCGTGTACGTTCACCTCTTATCCTTAGATCATTAAGCACTCTTTGCAACTACCAGCTTCATAGCCTCAAGCGTTATAAGTAATAAGTATCGATAAGCAGCACTGTAACCTTAATGTATACCCTACATTTTACTTTCTTAAGATTTTCTTAATGCTTCTGAGAGATGTGTTTGATTCGATTTATGTGATTTTCGATACCGACCTTGAGACTTTATTAAGCAAAAACTCATGACCTAACCTAAAATTCGAATTAATAATAATTTAGGTAAAGCTCGAAATTTGTCAATATCAAATAGTATAAAACAGTATTGGTGAGCTTAGAAACTCGAACCGGCGGGAGTGATGAAAACAAGGTGGAAGCTGCCTTGCCCTTCTAAAAGGGTTTGAAGTGACTATTGAGATTTCCATGAACAGGTGCACATTATGGGCAGACAGAAGTATTATTTCTGCTGATCAAGTATATATTCCACGCGTGGTTCTAAGTATTACAAACATTTACCAAATCGTGTGGTGAGTGTAAGAAATAGGAAATATTTCTATCCGCATATCCGCATGAGTAGTCGAGTAGGTAAGAATAGCGACGAGCAAGTCTGTGTTCGCGGGTTCAAATCTCAATGCGGTGGAGTACGTCGGTCGTAGCTAAAGTGAGTGCTCAGTCGGTGAAGACATAACACTTGCCGATTGGGCACATACTCACTAAGCTGTGGCCGCTTTCCCATTTCTTTCCGACCATCACCGTATAATACGAATTGGTGACGTCCCCTAGTTGGTTGGTTGGTCATATAGCAAGAAAAAAAATAAATATATTATATGTTATTCTATACGCTGCGTATGAATGATTATAATTTCCTTTCCCCTTAGTCTTTATTTTCAGAATTTTCAAAAACTAACTTGACTTTTAAAATACATTTTCTTGTTTTTATTTGTAATGCGCTTTATTTAATATTGAAAAGAACACTCAAACCTCAAATTATTTTACATGCATTTATTAATTAATTAATTTATTCATTATCAGTTTATTATTATGCCATTATTTAATAAACAATCCAGCATTTCCTCATTTCGCTACCGCTAAAGTAATTTGAAAAAATATTCTTTCATTTATGCTTTCTTATTGGCTTTTAATTTCATATACCTTAAGAAACATTTTTTTCTCTTCTCTTCTTTTCTTTTTTTTTGCTTTACTTGAGAGCTGTAATAGAATGTTTATATATGTAATTTTCAATACTTAAAACATTGATTCTTATGAATATACGAACATATATATATATTATTATATTATATAGAAGATAGAAATTAATAAAAACACTTATACGTACATACAGACATATGTATACATGGTATATAAGATAGGATATAAAGAAAAGGAAGAAAGAGAATATAATTTTGAAAAGGTAATACATACCTAATGTTAATTTTTCACCCGAATCGGGCGGTAATGTAAATCCTAGTAAAGCCATCGATGATATCAGCACACATGGTACAATTAAATTAAAAAAATAATACAGCGTACGTCTACGGATTTGTATTGTAAATGTTACATCCACATATGGTTCTGGACAGCAGGCATACGTGATGGTATTCTTTTGGCCGGGCATTGCTATTATTTTACGCGAATTTTCATTTTCAAGTTAATTAGTCATCATGTATACAAACAAACAAAAAAAAAAAAAATAAAAATAATAATTAGTGAATGAATATTGATAGATTTAACCTGTATTTAGATTCATCTACACAGCTCCACAAACAGTTATGCAATATCTAAACACGCATATATAAACAAAAAATAATTCTTTGTTCAAAATAAAACAAAACATTTTACATTGTATTCATTGTAGGTGATCGTATTATATACTTAATAAGAAAAAAGGAATGACTTAAATTTCATTGTTCATTCTGCAGCAGAAAATCATTTTTAATTTCGCTGCTCGCAATGCCTTTGTAAAATTGAATTTAAATTAGCAAATTACACGTATATTGCAATTTCAGGGCAATAAATAATTCTTTACAAAAATTGATTGCCTCTCTCTGATATTAATGGCTTAAACAATTAAAATTTATTACACAGATCGTGGAGGGATATATTAAATGTACTATTTCATTTGTAACACTTGTAAGTATCCTTTGATAAAATTCAAGTCAATTATATTAATCGATTTGTTGCTTTATCTATCAAAAACAAAGCTTGCTCGCTTACGAAACAGTCCCATTATACGGAAGATAATTCCGGTAATTTCAACTGGAATCTAGCAAAAAACTAGTAAAACGACTGTAGCCAATGGCAACTCACCATAAAATGCACTGCGCTAACTTTCAGATATGCAGGCAGACAAACGAACGGATGGATAAGTTTAGATCGCTGCAAGGTGGGTTTAGAGTCTAGCTCAAGTCAAGTTAAAAAAAAAGAAACTAGATAGACGGACGAACAGATAAGCTTAGATCGATTCAAGGTGCGTCTAGAGTGTAGCTCAAGCCATTCTGGCCGTAACCTATTGGTTAAAAAAAGAAAACAATGCAGGCGGACGGACAGACAAGCTTAGATCGATTGAAGGTGCGTCTAGGGTATAGCTTAAGTTTTTCTGGTCGTGACCTGTAGGTTAAAAAAAAGAAAACAACAGACAAGTAGACGGACGGACAGACAAGCTTAAATCGATTCAAGGTGAGTTTAGGATCTGTCTTTACTATATGCCCACTAGTTTGCTTGTTTACTCACAAAAAAGAAAGGAAAAGGGAAGCTGCAAATAAGGAAGAATTAAGCACAACGATAAGAAGAAACGATTCACTTGGCATGCCTATCGCTCAGATAGGCAGGCGGAAGCTCATTTTACTTCAACGATTAATTATTATTATTTTTATTTTTTACTTTCTCCTTATTTTCCTTATTTGTTTTAATTAACAAATTGATCATTTAATGATCTGAATGGAATGGAAATGCCAGTGATTTCAAATGGAATATTTTCACCAAGTCAATGAAATCGCTCTCATTGTTAAGTAAAATTATTTTTAATTGAATTAAGTAAAATAAACTTTAATTATTATATCTTGAAAGGATTGTAAGTGAAAGTAAGTAAGAAACTCTTACACACATTCTCTTTTCAATTGAGAACAGCGATCTCCACCATGACGAAATTCAAAGAAAACTTATGCCCGATAGTTATTGGTCTAAATTTTAACAATTTATATTAAAAATCCAATTCGTTGCTACTTAACAAGATATGGATATAAATATTTCATTCTCTGCTTAAAATTCAATCAATATAGTTAACGGATTGTCGGATATGAAGAAGATATTCGATTCCCTCCATATATATGTATATATCTTTTTTTCCGGTATTCTCCCATCAATTCTCTGTACAAAGGCATTTTAATGTAAATAAATACATAAAAAACATTTTTAATATATTTATATATTATAACATAAATATAAAGAAATAACTTGCAAGCTGCTTAAGAAGTATACATAAAGAAAAATATGCTACGGAAAGGCATGACAATATTTTTTGTTAACATCGAATATTATGAAAATTAAATAAAAATTTTTATTCTCATTTCTCTGGCATGTCATAAGTGATGTGCACAAAAGAAATAGTTTCAAAAAAAAAAAAAAAACAAATTTTTATTTTTATTGTTTTATTGCATTTAATATGCTAACGAATATTATATGTATATAATATGTTAGGTCTGTATCAATGACATTTAAATTTTGAAAAAGAACATAGAGAAAGCAAAATTGGATTTAATTTCTGATGAAAAGATGCAAACATTCGTTGAGTAATAGCAAAGTAGTTTATGGTTATCACAAACAAGGTATTGGGGTGGTGCATAATTATTAGGCGTGTTTTCGCGTGCTACATTCTAATAAAAATTCTTTTGGCGGGGGCAGAGTTAGCGAAAGTTTCAAATTTGGCGCTACTAGCTTGGAAGATAAGCCAGGAAGAGGTCGACTATTGGATTTCGACGATCGGGCACTTTTGATAGTCGTGAAAGGGGGCGAAAGCTTTTCAACTTGAATGCTGGCCGACAGCTTGGATGTAGACCAGTCAAGTATCGTTCGTCAAAAGCTTAGAAGGGTATTGAAGTTGACGGTGACTAAGCTCCGCATTTAAAAATGTTATTATTGCATTTCCATGATACCTTTTTCATGATAAGTAGCTTTAAGGGCGTCTGAAATTATTCACAAATCTATTATAATTTTCGATTCTCTTTGAAAGATTATTACAAAAGAGGAAATCTTATTATGATTAATAAATTTCTAGCGAACCATCAGGTGAACAGTTGTTGACGACATCGGCGTATGTTTGCTTTCATAAAACTCTTTTAGAAAAAGGCAAGTATTTATCTAATCGTATATGATAATAAGTTGAAATTAAAGCTTCAACTATAATAACACAAAAAACGTCAAATTCGTCCCTTACTTTTTTGCAATCGGATATTGTTACTTAATTAGTTACTTAGATAAGTTAGTAGTATCCGAGCATCCGTAATTCTTCAAGATTTTTAAGGCAATTAACAAGGAACACTTTAATGTAGTTGTAGGATGAACAGATCGATTTATCGTAGCCCAGAACTTGCCAGTGCGCACAACTTTTACTCAATGGATAAGAAATGAACATTTTTGCTTCATCACGCTGGCCAATAATTTCAGGGCTAATTCGAATGATACGATAAGCACTTTAAATAGTTTGCGGGAATATAACCCACAATCGGTAATGAACCCATATTATTGAAAATTAACTTCAACCTCTATTGTAAAAGTTTCTTGACAAGAGAAGCTCTAGATAACGAGATTTTAGATTTCATTTCTATAATTAATCTTCTAAAATTGATGGGCTATGACGTTACACTGAAAATGAACAGAGTATATTTGTGAGAGTGTTATACAACTCATGACATGCCTTCGATAATATCTTTACTTAAAGCATAAGAAAAGAAGACATAGAAAAGAACTAATATTTCTTATTACTAGAAGATATTTTTTTTTACTCTTTCCATAACTGTATCAAAATTAGAGAAAATAAAATAAATGATATGTTAAAGCGATTACAGAAAATAGTGAAGCATAAGCAATAAATGAGAAGACATATGCAAATTTGATTAGAAAATTTATATACGTTAATGTTAACGAAACGATTATTTGTTATTAAAAGATCTTTTTGAAAAAATTGATATCAAATTAAATTTGCATATGTTCAGTTGCTGAGTGTATAACGTCAGTCATACATATATATATATATATATATATATAGATAGAAAACAGTAAAAAAGAGACAGGTGTACTATAGACACAGATAGAGAGAATTAGGAAGTAAGATAGAGAATTTATGAGTTTACTAACCAAGTAAATACCACTCGCCGTTTGTGATAAAATCGGAAAGATCCCCTCCATCTTCGGAATTCAAAACCAAATCCAACTGTGTTAATAAAATTACAATACAAAAACACATTTTCGTTGCCATCATAGAAATATGTTTTTGATGTAATCGAGGGGGAAATAATATAAATAAATGTGTTAAAAGGAAATTGACTTAAAATTCTTGTTCAAAGTTTAACATTTAATTTGCATGAAAAGAAATTAAAAAGGATTTCGATAAATATTTGATTTTATCGCTTTTTCGCATTCTCAAAGTAATAAATTTCTTTATGTTTCCTTTCGTAATTGTTAATTACTTTTTTCTTTTTTTTTTAATTTCATTAAGAGTTTTTACAAAAATTGAAAAAATTTTATTCTATTTTTATAAAATTTTTTACAAAATTTTATTTGAAGTGGTTTTTCCTTATCCATCGATTTCTTATTGAAATTCTCGCTTTTGCAAACCATGCAAAATAGTTGAAACGAAATTTTTTTTTTCTTTTTTTTTTTTTCGTGCTATTTTCAACTATTTCAATTTGTTTCATTGTTGTTTGTATCAATTTTGGGAATAGAAATACAAAAAAAAATCATTTCACACATGATTCCAATCAGGTTGATTTGTTTCATTGTTTTACTCTTGTATATAACGGATAAAGACATTAAATTCTAGTCGAAAAAAAAAAGAAGAAAGGCAACAGAAAAAACAAAAACATTGGCCCATTGCTCTCACAGCTGGCATTCAAAAAGTAAATATTAATATTTAAAAATAATATTCATTTGTTGTATGACGCTTAGCTAGATAAACCTATGCTCTGTTGTTACTTTGCCCGTTCGGAACTTTAAAGGGATAAAAAACTTGAAATAAGTTATTTTCAAATCTGGTTTTGCAATTCACAAAAACGCAGTGGTTTGTAATCATTTTTCTGCTGAATAATTAAAGTAACATTTAATATTAAACAAAAAAGAAAAAATTAAAGATTTCAAAAATTAATAGAGATTAAATAAATTTAATTTAATTTAATCGATAAGAAAAATAATGCTTTAATAGAAATTGATTGAATATTGCATATGAATGCAACAAGGTTTTTATAACATAATTTACACTGTTTTTATTAATACAAAAAACATTACATATTTTACGGGTAATAAATATTAAGTTAATTGCATTTTCCATGATTATGTCATTATTCTGTTCGGCGATAAGAAATTTCAATGAAAGAAGACGAGTAAGCTAACAAAGAAATAATTATGATATTTATTATCTTAAAAATTGAATTGAACGCAATTCAAAATTAATAAGAAATTATGTTTTGATTAATTATCTCTAGGGATAATTACATTATTGAACACAAATTTCAAAGAATGTCCGTAAAGAAATCATAGCATATATTAAGGCATTGTGTTTTATATCAAGAGTTTTCCTACGAATTTAAAGCATCATCTTTCTTAAGAGAATAATGGGGTTAAAATAAAAACAAACAAAAAAAAAATTTTTTTTTTTTTATATTAATTTTTTTCATCACCGTCTTAAAATTTGGTACAACTTGTTATTGTTGCTCTTTTTTTGCTTGTATGGTGTGGCACACACACATACACACTTTACCTGATTTCCATCGTACGTCCAACTACCGAATTTCATTTCGCAGTGTTGGTCATCGAATGGGAACCACGTGATGTCTATCTTGCATGTGCTTTTGAAGATACCAGGGGGCACGTACAGACAACTGCCGTTATGCTTGACCACAATGTTGGTGTGATACGTGCCATCGAATCCCTCATCCGCGCTAAAGTATATATTTTGATTTTTTTTTTTTGTTTGTATATATAGATTTGTTTTTGTTTTTCAAAATTTGCAAATATTTTTTTTTTTTAATTTTAAATGAATATGAATATGGTTTAAACTAACTTACGAAACGTTTCTAAGATACTTAATCGCAAATATTTGTTCATTACTTCTTAAATTAATCAACTATTGGAAATGTTTATATTTTTTTACATGAATTGCATTACCGCACCATTTTTTTTTTTTTTTTTTTTTTGGTTATCCCTCGTCAAACCTTTAAGGCTTTTGTTTTTGTTCAGTCGCAATTTTTATTTAAATTTATTGAAGGTTATATATGCATGGATGGATGTCCGTGAGTAATATTTATCTATAATAGTTTAGTGCTCGTTTTCCCATTAGTGGCTTAGCGGTCTCTGGCTTCAGCGGCAGCTCGCTGAAAATTCAGTGCGGTTTGCTTATATCTCATTATAGCGCATTAGCGACTAGATTAGATTTATTTGGCGTTTGTTCAGTTTATTTATGAAAAGTGAAGTGTCACAGATTTCAGTTTCGATAAATAATCGGAAACTAATTCACATAAGTGAATTTAGTGGTTTCATGTGGATTACATGTTCTAAATAAAAAGATCAATTTTCTTCGTTGAAATTTTTATGAAAAGGCTTTGGCGGGTTCAAGCGTGGCCAACTTTTAAAATATAATCATATTGCGAAACTTTTTGAAATAATTTTTTACTATATGAAATATAGAGATCAAATGATTGACGGATATATGATGACATGTTTTCCAAATCTATTTCTGGAATTGACATTTCTGATCAACGCGATGTCCATCTCGTACCCGCTCATCCTTTTATTTTGTTACAGACTAAACGATGGACTTTCATAAGATCATTTCGAAACGACGATGAAATCGTCTCGTCGTCAATAATCTCAAAAGATATCTTCAATAGTCAAGAAGCGTACCCAACTGGTTCACATTGTGAAAGATATGTAATTTTTCCTCGTTGACTAGAGAAGTTTTAATCCACAAAATTTAATCTCCCTATCCCAAAAACCATCTATATTAGGAGGATAGATGATAAAGGTTGGTTTTATGAGTAACGATAGATTGAAAGGATATCTACTCGCATTCGGAGAGCTTCAAAGTTAGATGTTTATCTTTTTTACAAAAAGCGGAATGTCTCATTCATTGATTTTGAATGGCCGTGCTGTGATGAGTCATGATTAGCGTAAAGCTATTTTCTCAGCGAAAAAAGGAGACAACTTTTTGCCACTATGGTAGGATTTTGGAAGGCGTAAAATCTTGCAGTAGCGTCTCCATTTAGTATTTGACTATAAGGCTCCGTACAATTTCGAGGAACTTTTTCTATATAAAAGAGTTACTTGGTGAATTCAAAGTAGTAGATATCGTGTTCATAATAAAAAGTATGCAATGAAAATTGATTATCAGAGAAAAACTAATTTTTAATTTTAAGCATTTGTTTAGATTCATAGCAAATTATTAATTAAATTCGAGGCAATACAAATACATATGAGTAGATTTGCAGGTTGAGAATTTAGTTAATTATTTAATAATAATTCGTTTGCAAATATATATATAAAAAATATATAAAATATTTACGAAAAGTTCAAAACTAACAATTTGCAAAACAAAGTGAGAGAAGGAAAAAAATAGGAGAAGAATACGTCAGGAGTGGGGCATTGCTCCTTCGATATAAATGGAAAGTGTATTAACATACCATTGCCAAAATGCAGGAGCTTACCAATCGACCCATTTATAGATTTCACATTACAATAAACTTGATGATACAATTAAGATCTGTTGGTCAACCCCTAAATTATATCTTTCGTTCAGATTATTGCACAAAATTCCAAATGGAAATTGATTGTAGAGTCAGCCCTTAACTATGTTTATATTACGAATGAATTTGGAAAGTTTATGGGAGCTCGACAGGCGACTTTCAAATGAATCTCATATACACTATCAATAAAAGCCGGAAATTTATGATATCGCAGGGTATATCGTTACGGTATGAGATAAGAAATACGTCACTCCAAGTGTCATAAAACTTTACCAGCTTAAACGGTTGAAGACAACGTTTCTTTTCGTGTCTTTTGAAAGCAAGATAAAATGGAAATCTTATCAAAGAGAACTCAATGATATCAATACAAATGTTAACTCATCTATTCTACTGTTAATTGCATGCACGCGGCTTTACCGAATATTTGAGTAGCAATGTAGGAATGTAATCGCGGCATTATGGTTATGTTAACTTTCTTTACATTGTGGAGGCGCATTCTGACAGATCACACCCATTTTTTATCCTTTTATTCCTAATCGATAGGGGAACGATTGAGCCAAATTCAATTTTCTCCCTGCAACGATTCACAAAACTTACCCATCGAAACGATGGCTGTTCGTAAAAATTGATATATTCAAAACGTTCACTCATCTATTGCTAGTGAAAACCTTCACTGGACTGTTATTTCTATATGCACCACGGCGAATAAAAATATTCGTCGATATATTTAAAATTCTGAAACCTGAAATTATGGACAGTAATCGTGTAAGGGGTCATAACAAAATAGAGTTAGCATTTAGTGTACATTTGCTTTAGAGGCTTCTTTGTAAAGAGCCTCTATGTTTTTGCAATGTGTATAAGGCTAAGATTAAAACTATTAATCTACTAATGCTTTGGTTATTCTTTATGAAAGAAAAAAAAGGGGACTAAAAATAAGCTGACAAACTTGGTTTTTCAGGCAGCTGACAATAAACATAACCACATTTTCTTGCTACATTTTTCATTTACGGCAATATGCCGTTGTAAGTAGTTCTTGTCGCTTGTCCTAAATTATTGCAAAAAACTTTTTAAAACTTGCTTTACTTAACGTAATACTTGTGACGTAATCTTTTTTGGGAATATGTGATTTATTAAAACTCTCCAATGTATTGCTTTAAAAGTTCTTTAACAAAAAGTTCGCATTCTCTTCCATAAAATCTCATTTAAGTGGTACACGTTTGCATTCTTTTATTATATTTTATTTTTTTACTTAACTCTTTTTTCATTTTAACCTCTGTGAAAGCATATGTGCCCAACACTTGGCAAAAAACATAAGCAACAGATTTTTATAATGTTAAATGCAAAAAAAAAAAAAACTAAATTGTTTAACTGACAGAATTCAGATGAAAAAAAAAAAAGTAGAGAAAACTTTTCCAAATGCATACACACTTTTTGTATATGTAAAATCCTCATGTACGGGCGATAAACAAAGCATATGTGTATGCATACTTCATGTATGATATAAATGATAGAGAAAGATTAAGTAAACATACATGCCGTTATGATGAGGTTAGTGGTGTACACATTTAGTAGAAATGAGCCATAAGGTATTTGCTGAGGATAAACATTCATGAACATGAAACAAAACTAAGAGATTGTTTAAAGTGTTGTTTGCTAGTTACATGGTTGATACCGGTAGAAACGAATGACCGAACCGCATTAAGGGCATATAATGTTTGCTATGATTTTGGATCACCTTTCAATAAATGCATTAAAGCATAAGAATTCAAAAAAAAAAAAAAAACAAACTTAGGTAAAATCCCCTTTTTCTCTACGTTTAATATCAGTTATACTCCCGTTATAAGAATTTACGTCCAAATTATTATAGTTTTTTACCAAACTTCAGATCAGCAAACTTGGTTTTACTATAGTGTGGTGGACAGAAACTTTGGTTAATTAAACAGCCATACACATAAACTTGTCACCATAGGCACTCTGACGCATAATAACTCTTGTTCTATATTGGTTGTAAGTGCTTTGCTTATGATTAAATTCTCCTATCATACACTTACAGAAAGAGATAAATACCTCCATGCTATAGGTATTGGTTGATGTACAAACAAACCAAAAACCTAATAATAAAAAAAAAAAAGGAAGAAGCTATGAGTTTCTGATATTCACTAAACCTTAAATAAAATATCTGGAAGGAATAATTGTGAAATTCCAAAGTATGTTTCACATATACATGATCATGGGAAACATTTATAGGTAGTTTCAGCTTAATATTCCTTACGACCTAAAGCTTTTGAGTGATTGTGAAAATGTTCGTGCACTAATCAAGCCCTATTCAATATATCTAGCAAGTAACTAAGGAAATTTGTATTTTTTATCTTGTAATTTGTCAACGTAAATGTTCAAAGCCAGAGGAACAGATAAGTTAGGGCAGAAGTTGTTTTTCATTACGGTCCCACAACCTCGGTATAAGTTCTTCATAATTTACGTTCAAAGAGCGAATAAGCAGGTGAATATATAAGTGAGGACAAAAGTCATTCTTTATTTCGTTCCCATAACTTAACTGTACGTGCATCATACTCGATTAAAGTAAGCAAATGCGAGTTATCTTTAATCTAAGTTAAAAGTTTTTTGTGGCATAATGATCGTTGAGCTTATTCGAAGTGAAATAAGGCGACAAAAGTTTGACGCCGTAAGCGGTTCGTGATAGGTGTTGAGGTAAATGACGATTGATCATTTTCTTCTTCTTGCTGTAACCATCGAAGCGAGCAGACGATGCTCGAATACTTCTTGCCAAAATAATTGAAGCAAGCAATCGTTTATACTGGGCTTCTTGTAATAATCGTCGACGATAAGGTGTTCGTCTAATAACGCTGGAATGTTAAGACTAAGACCGACCTGCTACGGGTTATTAAAGGGTTTCGCTTTTGGAAGAATTAACTGCGGTGTAAACATAATGCTAGGAATTAGAAGTAAGAAAATCCGAGAGATCCGTGCGCAGAAAAGCACAGGTGCCGTTAAAATTTGAGTGGCGGCCATTATCTGTATAGTATAATTGCTACAAGTTCAATTTTTTGACCGAATGAATTTACTGAGTTGAATTAGATAACGTAAATCAAATAAAAGGGACGGATGAACGGGGTATTTTTTTTATTTAGTTCTTTTATTGCTGACTTTGGTAAAACTGATAAATTTTCAGAAAAAATAAA